CAACCCTCAGTGTTGCCCCCGTACCGGACCGGGGACCGGCAACGGGATTGCAACCCTTGGTGTTGCTCCCGCGCCTCGCTCAGCCAGTGAGTGGGAACCGGTCCGTATGTGGGATCCGAACCCTGGGGCGGGAGCGCCGCCGCGCTTCCCAAGCGGCGCACTATCCAGTGCGCCACCGGGCTGGCCCTAAAATTGTAATTTCTTATAGGAAGGTAGAGTAGGGAGATGATCACCTCAATCCAATCAGGGTTTAAACTGTTTTGAGGATGCGCTTCAGTTTTTGAATAGTCTGGTCTATTTCTAGTTTGCTCTTACTCTTAGGATACAGTCCTTCAGGGTTCCCCAATGGAAAGCCTGGGGTATTTATCTCATCACATCAAATTTTTGTCTTAGAATTGCCAAAAGCTTGCTTCCAGCCTAAACAACCTGGTTGTCACTTTCTGAGTAGCTTCTCTCAACTAGGCCTGCTTAACTATGGTTGAATTTCTCAAAGAGTTAATTGTCTCTGACAATTGGGCTCACTTCCCTGCTTTTTGCTGCAATCTGTCTATCATCTATCTAGTCCTTCAGAGAACAATTAGGATAGCTGAAATATAAATGCACATATATAATTATGTAATACAAATGTACTTATAAAACACAGATATGTAATTAAGAAAGTGGACATTCAGATAGATTTTGGCTTTCCTAATTGTTCTCAGAAGGAGAAATTTGGTCTGCTATAAGCTAGTCTGTCATTACCAGAGAAGAACTCCTTTTCCACTTAAATTCTTTAATACCAGAAGCTACGTCTTCTGTCTCTGCATCCTCATCATTTGGTACACTGCCCAAAAGCTAGTAGGTTCTTGGTAACTGAGTGGTCTGTTTCTTTCTGACTGCCCACAAAGTAAGCAATCTTGACCTTCAGGAATGAACTGGTAGTGCATGTTTGGTCTTGCATGGATATAAGATATGTCAGACAATTGTCCCATTGTGCCCACATCCCCTGCCTGCATCATTTGCCTACCCATAGTGCCTGTAATCCACTAACTGCCAAGTAACCAATCATATTCCCGCTTTAAGAATTTAAACTAAGAAACAAAATACATATGGTGGTTGTGGGCCCCGGGCGTGAAAGAGCTGGTGGACTCTGGTGCAGGTAGCCACATTGGAAAACAGGCAAATGCAGCAAAGGACAGAACAGGGACAGAGGCAGGAGAGGTAAGAGCCTCAAGCTTGCTGGCACTCCAGGGCCCAGGAAGCCTGACGCATCATGTTTACTATCCCTTCATTCCATGAGGTCTGCATCCTTAAACTATCCCACCTCTCTCCTGAATTAGCATGAATGAGTTTTTATGGCTTCAACTAACTGAACCTAGCTGAGGAAAACTGCAAAAAGTCCTGATGAAGACAACACAGAAAGGGGTAATTAACCTATCTCCCAAGGGCTAGTTTTCAGGAGGTCAAAGATGTCCATCATGATCTGCAGCTTTACCCACTCCATGTGTGACCATGGGTGTCATTTGGGAGCTTGTCAGAAGCGCACAATCACAGACTCCACCCTGGATCTACTGAATCAGAATCTGCTTTTCAACCTGGATCCCCTGGGGGAATCACATGCATTGTGAAGCTTGGGATGCACTGACACATACAGGGTTGAAATACTAAGTTGCCACTTACTAGCTATGGGAACTTGGGCAAGTCATTTAACTTTCCCATGCCTTGGTTTCCCCATTTGTAAAGTGGGGATGATAATAAGTGCTTACTGTCAGGGTAGGCGTGAGGGTTAAGTGGGTTAACATGTAGGAAGTGCTCAGAACAGTGCCTGAGACCTAGTGAGCCACCTTTATCCATGAGGACGTTGGCTTCCTAAGAACAGGGGCTTTGTCTATTTTATCTGCTGCTCTAATTCCCCCACCCAAAACGGTCCTTTGCCTCAGGGTGCAAATCTTCAGTTGTTCAAACGGTCACCAAGAAAGGATTCTTTGTCCTTGTAGCTAAATCTCTACAGCTCAGATGGGCTGCTACCGTTCTAGCTAAGGCATGTGCCATCAGATGAGTTTTATTCATCTTTCAAGAGCAGAAATTGTGGGTCCTTGATTTAATCCAATTACAGTTCCTTTTGCCTTATTTGGCTTAAAAGGTAACAAATTCTTCCTCACTTATTTATGGAGATATGTGTTGGAAGAGCTAACAAACTGGGATTCTAAACTAAAGGGCTCTAAGCAGGGAATGAACGGGTCTTCTTCATTCCCCCCATGCAGATATTTTACAGGAAAGTGAAGTAACTTTGGCACGTGATGATAAGCAACACTGGTCATAATTTTATCTGTTCCTACAAGAAAAAAAAGTCTTTACATGGACCCTGCCAGACCTTCAGAAATATTCCCAAGGTTCTGCCATAACTACCTTGTTTCAGTTTCTAATCCTGTGCTATCTCAAAGTGAATTTGATACAC